CAGCTGGTGAAGTCCAAATTGCCTAAAGTCGAAATCTCTTGCCCAGTGTTCCGTGGAAAGGAAAAAGCCTGTTTTGGGGTTCTCTTTAGCGACCTTAGTGGAAAGTAAATAAAGAGGCAAAATTAATACAGCACACATGGATGCATAGCTGGATTTTACATTGACTCCGCTGACACCGCTGTCGAAAATCCCAGAGCTGGACAAAAGACACGTGGCACCAGTTAGGATGGATGGAACTCTACAGTGCTGGAATAAGCCACCTACCAACAGGTGCGGGATTTGTCTCGCTTGTGCATCCAACCCGCTCAACATAAAGCAATGAACGCCAACTAACAATGGTTTCAACCATGATTTCATAGGTGGTGCAAGATTTTGCCCATCCACAGTAAAAACCTGTGGGAGGGTACCTTCAAGATCAATTTCCTCTTGGAGGGTCCCCTGTCACACTGTCTGCCGTGTTGGTGGGAGAGAGGGCAAATAAGAACTTAGCGACACAACAAGCCGGTCACGCCGCTTGCCCAGGCCTGAAGAGCAGCAAACCGCAAAGAGCGCCCAAGCACTCGCTCGCCAAAACATACCCGGTCACGGTCATCTCTGCCGTCTCATATTGGACGGTCAGAAGAATCACCGTGATGTTGGCCATGACCTCGGGATCCCTCCAATTCAGAGCTGAATGTTGCCCGAGGTTATTCCCGTGATTGGCGGTTTGAGGTTACTGCGTGGTTCTATTTAAAAGTTATCCTCTACAAGAAGCAAGAGTTCGAATCCCAAAACCAACATCGACACCACCAATTAAGGGCAACCTGACCGTAGGTGGCCTTTGAAACAAACAGGCGGCACTGGCATAAGTAAGTGGAACCCCACTCAATCTGTGCCACTCAACCAAACCTGTGGCTTTTAAAAAGAAACTTTGGAAACCAAAAGGACTACCACCATTGTGGGGGGTCCCCGAAAAGGACGCACCACCGGGCTGTCCTCAGATCCCCCGAAAATTGTTCAACTCTTAGTGGGAGTGGAAACCCCCCACTAAATCTAAATAAACCTAAAACACAAAAGAACCGGACGGCTGCGAACCGCCCAGACATGCACATGGGCCTTCCCCGACTTCCGAGGCTGTCTCGCTAAGGCCCGGACGCCTACGCACAGCGCCCCCGTGACCCACAGCAAGGCCCTGGGCGGCTGGGCGTCCTTGGCATGCTGGTCCTGGTGCTCTGGCGGCAAGCCGCCCAGCCGACGAACCAGCCTGAGACACGCAACACGCACGTGGACCCAAGCTGGAGCAAAGGAACCCATTCTTTGGGGACGACCATTTTTTTGTGAAGCAAAAAGGGATGTAACATTTAGAGGGTGCTGCACGACTGGGGCATTGAAACCCGGCTGTTTGCCCAGGCAAACAGCTGACCAAATGAAGACTTTTTTTGCCACGTACCAAGCATCATAAATTATGTTTGCACGCAAATAGTCAGAGAGCAAATCGATATGGAATGGTCTTGATCTCACGGCATTCCAACAATGCACGTGATGCTGTTATAGTCCCTGCCGCTTGCCAGTTGTTCGCAGTGGTCACATTTTTTCAAAGGTGACATGTGGGTATGTCTCAAATTAGGGACCCCCATGGTTGGTTTCATTTGGTTTCCTTTCAAACCCACTGCACAAGGGGTACTGAGTCTCTCAAGAGGACGAGCTACACGTTTAAGGATCTGTCTCGAAATTGGGGAACCTTTGGATGGTTTTGCAATTTTAAACCTGGAGGGGGCCGTCCTTTGAATGGTTTTAAAGGGGCCGTCCTTTGAATGGTTTTAAAGGGAAACCAACAGCACCACTTGTTTTTTAAGAACCAGCACCACCACCTGCATTTTGGACCACCCTCCTTTTTGGGTCCCAACTCCCTGAGTCCAACGTTACCCGCATTTTTTCGACCGAACTGTTTGTCTAGGTCCTCCAGTAGAGGGCTAGAATAAGGGTACCCCTTTTTTTCTAGTCTCTTTTAGTAGGGGAACCCTCCCAACCAAAAAAGTTGGGAAAAGGGCACTGCTGGGTCAAAATCCCGCACCCCCAGTGAACAATCCCAATCCGCACTGAAATAGGTTCTAAAATGGGTGGTGCGCCTACCCGGTCTTGACAACCACAGCCACTTGGCAGAAGGAAACGCAAAAAAGGGGAACCCTCCCCCAAAAAGTTGGTAAAAGGGTACTGCGTCCAAGGCGCAGCGGCAGGGCCAGCAGCAGCCCCGCCGCCAGGGCCCCATACTCCACGGAGCTCTCCGCCAGCGCTGGGAGCTCGGGGCCGGCGCTCCGGGAGCTGCTCTTCCTGAGCCCGGCCGTGGAATCCACCGGCCAAAAATGGCCCCAGGGGCCAAAAAGGGCCAAACTACGGCCTGGTGGTTTCCATGGCGGTTTGAACCATGAACTTCACGGGAAATTGGTCCTATTTTAGGACCCCCCGAGGTGCCATGTGGATAAAAGGGAGGTCTGGGTGTTCAATAGCCTCAGCTTTTGAGAGAACAAGTAACAAATGATAAACTATTCGAAAGGGATACGTGTTGGTTGAGTGCACATGCTGACCTGTTCGGGCAGTGTCCAAAATGCACATCACATGTATTCCGAAATCTTACGTGCGGACCTAGCTGAACAGAGTTGGGATCCTGCAAACAGACCAGGTAAGCCACATGTTGTTTTTTGTTTTTGTTTTTTTTCCCCGAAAGGAAAGAAGTGTAAGCTTCATGTGAAGGCGCTGGTGTGCCGTTGGCGTGAAGAAATGTAGGGTGAAAAAACGCCGGCGCTGGGGTCGGGAATGTTCGCCTGTTGGTCGGGAATGTTCGCCTGTTGGTCGGGAATGTTCGCCTTTTTGCCAAGAATTGTCGCCTGTAGGTTCGGGGAGATTGCGCTTAACACCCAAATTGAGCAAAAACGGCCGTAGGCAAAAATTACGCGCATTGCCCCAAAAGGCAATTCGTAGCGAAAAGGCGGAAATTTTGAGCATGCAGGAAGGTCCAGGTATCTATGATGGGCTATTAGAATAGGTTCAACACAGCAAGTAAATAACCCTGTGCTTTTTGAGGGGAACCACACATATATATATATATACACATACATAAGCTTCCTAAATGGCAAGAAATGATTGCAGTTCAACAGGACATGTATAACACGTGTATTTCAAAAGGACATAAATGTCATTTCATGTCTATCATGGGCTATTAGAATGTTCTTTTTTTCCCGAGAGCAAACACATGTCTGTAAGTTTCATAAATGGAAAGGCTGCTGGGATGAGTTCATATATGGAAATGCAAACAACATGCATGTCTACATTTTGGGATGGGTTCGATGGAACTGCCGACTCGCATGCAAATCCAAAGAAATACAAAGTGTCAGTGGAGTTGCAATCAAAACCTGGCCTCTATTTGTGGTTGGGAGTGTCCCTTCACCGTCATCGATTGTGAAGAAGGTCAGCTCGCTTTAGGGCATCTGCAGATGAATAATGTTCACCCCATGTTAATCAACCCCAGTTTTTGATAGGGAGGTGTCTGTGGGTTTAGTGGGGAATCATCACTTCTGGAGGGGAACACCCAATCAGGAGTCAACATTATGGCAAAAAACAGCTAGGGCCGAGCATGTGGCTCCAAGCAAAGCGTAATACTCGCGCTTGCTTTCTCAGTGCATCCCACCAAGGCTTCGGGTTCCACCAGTACGGATCCGTGCCAATACAAGGGCGCCAGAATCATTTGTCCTGTTTAGAAAATGTAGAAAGGGGAACTTTGTTTGACCTCCCCGTTCCCACTGGCTAAAGGACTACGACCACCGCGTTGCGGCCGGGCGGCCTAGTTTGCAGCAAGGTCACAGCATCTATGACCCGCATCGGTTCAGTTGGGCGAGCCGCTCATTGTTCCAGCCGGTAGCTGGCACTTGGGCTCATTCTTTGAGCCTCTGAGCTGCGGTAGCTGACAGAGTCTTCGCTGCGCACCAGCAATGCTAGCCCTGGAAATGGGAACCATGGGTTTGTGGTTTGAGCTGTGGGCGCTTGGTTGTGCATACATGTCCCGGGGCGAGGGGGCTGGCCATTTCGAGTCCCGGTGAAAACACAAGCCCACCCCACCATAGCGAGTCACCACATCGCGGACGTAATTCGGCTGTCAGCAAACACACAGCGCTGCATGCCCGCCCAAACGAAATCCAAACAGATCACAACTCCACACGCCAGGTGCTTCCAAGGTGATCGCCGTAAGGGACGAACTGGCCTCGGTCTCTCCTAATCCCTTATCTGGAGAGTTCAACAAAAGGGGATGGATTTTATTTAGGGTCCCGCGCACTTTGGCGGTGGTTCCCCCTTAAATCATAACCAACTGAAGAAAGTACTGTTGACTCATGAACTTAGAGCCACTGATTGGAGGGGTCTTCCATGTTAGAGGGAACCTTGACTTTTGATAAAGCACGCCGCAAGGAAAACCCCCCGGGTCAACATGAGAAAAAACATCCAGAACCCCCGGAGCAACCCCATTCCGCCCTAATCTACAAGTCCCTGACCCATACGTCAGAATTCACTGAGAAACATGTGCACATTTCAGCCAACTCTTAAGCTTCGGCCGAGTTTCACCCATGATGTTCAAGGACACTCGCTGATCGGACTCTCCAAGAGACGATATTCAAAACCGCCCTCAAATCTTGTGAGGACTCCCGTTGGCCGTTTAAGCGATCACCGCCCTTCCAAGCCGTCAAACTTGGCCAAACTTAGACCTCCTACAAAGAGTTCAGCTGGGTAAATGGACAACGGACGCCTTCAGATCCCAAAAAACGCATCTCCTTGGAGATTTCCATGGGTTTCATCTTGACTAAGGTGCCAGCTTGTTTGAACCACGGTTTAAACCATTCAACAAGCGCCGTTTGGCTTTTCTTGGACCAAAAGTTGGTGTAAACCAATGCAACCAAGCTGGCCACTGGCCCATGTGCTCCTTTTCTTTTAGGGGACCAGGGGTTGGTTTAAACCAACCGCCCCCTGTGTCTGTCCTCCGCCTGGTCCGACAACAAGTTGGCCCGGTGGGCGCTGTGCGCCTTCAGCTGGTCCACAGCCTGCTGTTGGTCCGCTGGGAATTGTGCCACCTACTTTCACCCAGCTGTCCAATTGGGTCTTAAGGTGGTAGTCTAAAAACGGTGGTGAAAGGGCGGGAAATGACTGAACCCCAGCGAAACCCTACAAGCAATGCGACTCCTGTATCAACTTTTCAGGTTCTCCAATCCTTGGTGGCTACTATCTATTGCCCCCTTAAACAAATGACTTGTTGCTTGCTTGGTGGGAAAACAATTGCAGTTTTTCCCACGATTATTAATTAAGATTAAAATCCAACCAAAGAGCCACCCAAAACTGAGGGAATCATCAAAATGGGTGGTGTCTTTGCGTTTTCTCTTTGAAGTTCAAAAACGATTGTCTGGATGGCGGCTTCGAAAGAGAGCCGGCTTTAAATTTGGAACTCTATGGCAACTCTTGGTCCCTAAACCCAACGAAGGGGAGCCACTCTCCGACGGTCACCGATGCGAACGAAGCGAGTCCTCCTGGCACAGCCGCAACTCCTGGCGGACAAGCGTGGCATGTGACAGAAGATCTGGACCGCTCTCCTGGAGAGCGCCCACGGATGATCGGAGCTTAGTCTAACCCCCATGGGTGCATGGCCGCCTATGATGTCCATACAGTTCCATGACCATTCACCGCAAGCCAAGGGAAACCCTCAGCTGACATTCCAATCATGTCGAGCCCTCCACCTTCTTGTTTCCTGGCAGTTCGTGTTTGACAGCACGGTAATGTTGTAGTATTGTGTCCAAAAGGAGGACCCTCAAGCAACCCCGTCAGCAAAAATCTATCGGAGTCAATCTAGAAAGGTGTGATCAACTCATCTTCCAGTTCCTTCTAGGCTGGCTTCTCCTTCCCTGAATATGGAACCTGGCAATAAAGCAGCTATGTGAGTCACACACGCTAAATTTATCCGTTCTCATTCATGGCGGTTAAGCGACAGCCAGCTTACGCTAGCTGAGTGTCTGCTAGTCTGGTGATTTGCAGTTGCCCTTGCAATGTGTCGCGTCGTTCTTGTCATACGGACACCCAATGCCGGTGTAATTGCTAGCTCTCTACCTCTCTCATGCATAGCTGACAACCTGACCCAACCTTTCATCTCCAAGCAGCTGCCTTCAGGGAAACCCATGCCCATGGCGAGCCCTTCTGTAACAGAAACCCTAATGGTTCTCTCTCTCTCTCTGTCTCTGCATTGGGGTTGATGACCATCCCTTCAGCCAAACCGTTTATGCCAAGCAAGCAACCCAAGCAAATATCAAAGGCGTAGGCCTCCTCTTTCAGCTGCAAGTCCCCGCGCAGCTCCTGGCTCGGTATGCAAAAGAAACAGTATTAAAATGGCAAGCTGATGTTCAAGCCAATCAAGGACAAGGCCCCAATTGTTTTTCCATGTCAACCAGAAAACAAAGAACAAAACCAAAACGTGGGTACCTTGCTATGTGAACCTCGAGCTTTGGAAGCGTGGTGCAGGTGGATCGGAGCGATCCCTGGAGGTCCTTTTCCCCGATCGATGTCGCTTGGTTGCATCTTCAAAACGCATGTCACTACCCCATGTGATCAAACATGGTTCTCTACGTGCCAGCTTAGCACATGAAAAGCAAGCTAATGCTGTCATACTGTGTCTAATGTTTCACAAACATGACGAGTCAGAATTCGAGGCTGCCAACTGTACATGGATTGTAACTCTAGACCCTCTAGTGGACATCACTTTCATTGGGATTTATAATGATTTATATCCACCGACCAATTCGGAGAGTGCTTAAACAAACAAAACATCAGCCAAACATGCAAATCAGGCATGTTGCCGACTGCTATCTGAACTGCGAGCACTCTGACATGAATGCACTTGAATCTAGATCCGTCCTTGAAGTCATGAAAGTCTCCTTGACATGCAAGATATCTGTTCCATGAACCATTGAAGAACAATTAAGGCAAATGCATAGACATGCGCCATGGATACCCGGACGACTTGCACATCTGTATGGCAACGGCCCAAACAATCACGGTTCGAACAAAAAGGTTTTCCTGATAGGAAAACATCCACATAATCTGGTTGTGTCCAAAATTGCAGATTCCCATTCAAAATTGACGTTTGGGAAGCAGAATTTAGGCTCCCCCCAGTTTGGGACACGCCCATGTTTCTCCGCTTGAAGCTTCTTTGGAAACCACTAATTGCGGATTACTTCGGCGTTGCTTTCCAAGGGCATTCTGTTGGTTTGGTTCAGGAAGACCAAAGGGAACACCGTAATTTGGGGTCCCCTGCTTTCCGACACGGATTCGTCCAACTAGGAATCAACTAGTGCGTCAAAAGCAAAGCCCCCTTTTGGGAACTGGTGCTGCCTTTTCCTCCTTTCTAAAAGGATACCAACTAGGGCCCTGAATTTTGACAACCCGCCAACGAGGAACATCTGTATTCCCGACTTTCGTCATCCATATCCATGCCTCAGCCACAGATTCTCTGGCACGTACGGCCTCCGGCAGCCCCTCGCCCCGCTTGGGTGACTCGAATGGCAGAAGCGAACCTGTTCTTGGGGTTTCACCAGTTCACCAGTTGCGAAGAACCCAAGAAGAGAACCAGCGCGATGGGTCCCTGCAGACTCCCCTGGAAACACGCCCAGGGTCTGTCAATCAAAGTGTGAGCGCTTGTGGTTCAATGCAAAAAGGAATGGTGAAGCCATTACGTTCCCAGCCTCCTCTTGTCGCATGAGGCAGAGCCTTTGCTCCTGCCGCTCCTGTGCAAGCCGTGACCCAAGCAATTAAGGGCTTTTGGGGGCCCATATTTGGGTTTGTCAAAACCGGAGAACCACCCATTCGGCTACCTTTGAACGAACCCCGAAATGTCTGATTTTTACTGGGAGACCCTTTGCGGACCAAATCCATCAGCCTCTTTTGAGATGGTTCCCAGTTACATCATGGCCATGTATATTCGGAGGGTTGCCATCGGACTGAGATAAGACCTCGGCACCGAAACTGCTTCAAGGCGCTGAATGGGGCGCCCTTTGCAGCGTCCTTTGGCCACACTTGGGACCAGATTTGGTCATGCCACAAGACAACCGCCACTTTTAGAGGGACCGGTGACCATTTGGTCCGAGGTAGGTCAACACCTGACGCCGAACTCGTCCTGTTGCAGGCGCTGCACCTCCTGATGTGCTTCTTGCACCTGCTCCTGTCGCTCACTGCCAAAGCCACTAGGTGTTCTGCAGTCTGCATTGCTGCATGGTTCATCCCCCGAAAGCACAGCACGGCTACAGCTGGCCGGTGATGTTCAGCTTGGCAGGGCTTCCCTGACATTCTCCCTCAACAGTAAGGCCTCTTTTGCACAAAGGTTGCCACTCTGAACGGGGTTCCTTCTAATTCCCCTTCAAACATCGCCGTACATCCCCTTCAAACATCGCGGTACACATTGGGAACACGATCAGCATTGACCTCTCTGGACGAGGTGGAATGCATACAACCCATACTTTATCATGCAAATGCGTTCTGCTTTACACAGAGGTACAATCTCTCTGTGTGTGCATGCGTCTGTGTGTGTGTCTAAACGGTGAACTCTTGCCAATGTTTAAAGATCCTGTTGTTTCCTTGCAAAAGCTTCGCCTAAATGGCTCCCTTGGTTTGACCAATCTAGCGGATTGGGGGCATCTGCCTGCCAAAGCGCGACCAGTTGCTGAAAATGCAGAGGGCTGGCATGAGCAGAACCGAAGCTACGCCAAGGTCTGATCTGAGCGAGGTTCTGGAGAAAGAAGAAGCGGTGAGAATACGATCCCGCACTTTTTTCAGACATCTGATGTCTCCGTCTCCTGCAACTGTTGGAAGTCCGCTTTTTGCTCCTGCAAAGTGCAACGCAAAGCAGTGAATTGTGGGAGGAAGAGCTATTTCGTGTGGGAGTTGTTGATTCCTCCAAAGTCCTCCTTGAACAACGATGCGGAGCTTAAAGTAAAGTTGGCAACTATATAACAATCAAGAGCCCTGGATGAACTCATGCAAAAATTTGCAACGCGACAATAGCAAAGTAGCACGCAAGGCAAGTTTCTGTATTAAAGTATGATTTGTTTTGGAAAAATAAAATGCAAATCGAGTAGCAGGGATGCCGGGGGGGCATTTGCCAAGTGCCAAAGCCTGTCCCAAAGCCTTCCCTTTCGACGAGGGCTTGACCCGGGCAACCCGGTCCTCCTCGTATCGCTCTTTCTGCGCCTCCACACATCTTTTCAATCTTGCAATCTCCTAGCAACGGCTGTGATGTCAGAGCGTGCAATTACAAAGTGGCACTGGCAACCAGCAAAATGTAGGCCAAGATGGTCAAGCAACGCCCACTCGAGCTGCTGTTGTTACCAGGCAACACACGCCCAGTTCTCAGGTGCTCCTCCTCACATCGTGCATGTCGCGCGTCTGCGCCGCTCAATCTTGCCACCTCCTTGCCCGTGCTCGGGTCGAGCAAACATTTCGCACGTCCCACTAGCAGCGCAGAACTGCGAACCAACCAACTAGGCAACTTAGGCAACCAACCCACCCTTTGCAGTAAGCAATCTCTTTCAAGCGCGCTTCTTGGACGCCGACAAACAACAACCATTCTTTCCAGCAGGGCATCTGCTGGCGGTATTTTTTTTGACTGATAGAACATCTTCTCACAAACACTGCCTCCCCCCAACTCGCGCAAAACGGGCGTTAACCCAGAATGCACTGCCCAAAGCCCACAGATTCCAGGCCCATGCTGCGTGGTGCGATGGAAGCAACAGCGCCCCTGCAGCTGCTGCTGTCCTCCTCCAGTGTTGCTTTTTGCGCCTCAGCACTGCCCTTCAAAGCTGCCACCTCCTGGGCGCAACAAGGTTCTCGCCTGGCCGGCCCACGCATTGTAACATGATGCTTGCACACACCCCAAAGTGCTGCATGCTTCCTCTGCGAGTCCGAACCTGTAATACAATTTCCCAAAGGACGAGATTTGCGGGGATTTGCTCGTACAAGCAAACGTCTCTTTCGCCGGGTCCAAAAATATCCAAGCAACAAACACCATCATTTCAACACTTCCTGAACCACCTCTAAATGAAATGCCCAAAGTCAATCAATCTTGGGTCAGTCAAAGCAATGATTGCAGCGTTGGAAGCAAACCCGTCCTCCTCCAGCTTTGCTCTTTGCCCCTTCAAAGCTGCCACCTCCTGGGAGCAACTCAATTCTCGCCTAGGCCCCCCCACGCCATGCGCCGGCCTTAACTGCGCAGAACCAGGCTGTACTCTGTGATGGGGCGTTGACACGAACATAACTCCCATGTAAATGTAGAGATATCCCCAACTGTCAATGCTCTTGGACACACTCCGACAGGCTGACAACCAGCCCTTGCATCTGTCCTCTTCATGCCGTGCTTGTTGCGCTTTCGCTTCCTTCTTCAAGCTTTTCACCTCCTTGCACGTCGCCATCGCAACAGCGGCGTGCACCGTCTGCCACGCTTTCCACATCCCAGTCAGCATCCACCTCTTCAAACATGGACGTCGATCACAGCAACTGCCCTTTCTTTCAAAGCAAACAGAACAAACTCACACACACACACCAAAACATGTTCTCAACTCTTGTGCGCACATCACTGGCAGCTCACGGCAACAAATACGTCCATTCAGCATCAAACACCATCAATCAGCCCCCCCCCCCCCGCCCCCATAAATCATGAAGCCTTGCATTAAATTCACTGCCCACAATCAGTGAACCTCGGCTCAGTCAAACTGTTACAGCCCGCAAGCCCATGCTGCATGCTGCGGAAGTGAAAACTCCACTGCAGTGCTTGCTGTCCTCCTCCAGCTGTGCTCTTTGCGACTCAGCACTGCCCTTCAATCCTGCTATCTCCTCCGCAGGGCAGCTCTTGTCCGAAATGCGCCTTGCTCCATCTTGGGGTGCTTTGACACGAGCGTAACTTCCGTGCAAACAATATGGGGATGCCCGCTGCTAACGCTCTGAGACACACGGTTCAAAAGCATGGCGAGTCCAAAAACGCAAGTAAAACAATTACTTCAAGCACTGCCGACCTTCTTCAGAACACATCAGATTAAAGCAACAGCATTTAACACTAAAACCAGAAGTTCGGATTCCCGAAACCCTCAAATCTTACGGACCTGCATCGGATTGACAGCCCAAACCAGCACAAAATCAATCAATGTTAGGTCAGTCAAAGCAGTACACAGTTTGCAGGCCCATGCTGCGTGGGGCATTGGAAGCAACACGGCCCCTGCAGCTGCCGCTAGTCCTCGTCCAGTTTTTCTCTTTGCGACTCAGCACTGCCCTTCAAAGCTGCCACCTCCTGGGAGCAACGCAATTCTCGCCTAGGCCGCCCCCATGCGCCGGCCTTAACTGCGCAGAACCAGGCTGTACTCTGTGATGGGGCGTTGACACGAACATAACTCCCATGTAAATGTAGAGATATCCCCAACTGTCAATGCTCTTGGACACACTCCGACAGGCTGACAACCAGCCCTTGCATCTGTCCTCTTCATGCCGTGCTTGTTGCGCTTTCGCTTCCTTCTTCAAGCTTTTCACCTCCTTGCACGTCGCCATTGCAACAGCGGCGTGCAACGTCTGTCACGCTTTCCGCATCCCAGTCAGCATCCACCGCTTCAAACATGGACGTCGATCACAGCAACTGCCCTTTCTTTCAAAGCAAACAGAACAAACTCACACACACACACACCAAAACATGTTCTCAACTCTTGTGCGCACATCACTGGCAGCTCACGGCAACAAATACGTCCATTCAGCATCAAACACCATCAATCAGCCCCCCCCCCCCCCGCCCCCATAAATCATGAAGCCTTGCATTAAATTCACTGCCCACAATCAGTGAACCTCGACTCAGTCAAACTGTTGCAGCCCGCAAGCCCATGCTGCGTGCTGCGGAAGTGAAAACTCCACTGCAGTGCTTGCTGTCCTCCTCCAGCTGTGCTCTTTGCGACTCAGCACTGCCCTTCAATCCTGCTATCTCCTCCGCAGGGCAGCTCTTGTCCGAAATGCGCCTTGCTCCATCTTGGGGTGCTTTGACACGAGCGTAACTTCCGTGCAAACAATATGGGGATGCCCGCTGCTAAAGCTCTGAGACACACGGTTCAAAAGCATGGTGAGTCCAAAACCGTAAGTAAAACAATTACTTCAAGCACTGCCGACCTTCGGAACACACATCAGCTCAAAGCAACAGCATTTAACACTAAAACCAGAAGTTTGGATTCCCGAAACCCTCAAATCTTACGGACCTGCATCGGATTGACAGCCCAAACCAGCAAAACCTCAATCAATCTTAGGTCAGTCAAAGCAGTAATTACACAGTTTGCAGGCCCATGCTGCGTGGGGCATTGGAAGCAACACGGCCCCTGCAGCTGCCGCTAGTCCTCGTCCAGTTTTGCTCTTTGCGACTCAGCACTGCCCTTCAAAGCTGCCACCTCCTGGGAGCAACGAAATTCTCGCCTAGGCCGCCCCACGCCATGCGCCAGCCTTAACTGCGCAGAACCAGGCTGTACTCTGTGATGGGGCGTTGACACGAACACAACTCCCATGTAAATGCAGAGATATCCCCAACTGTCAATGCTCTTGGACACACTCCGACAGGCTGACAACCAGCCCTTGCATCTGTCCTCTTCCTGCCGTGCTTGTTGCGCTTTCGCTTCCTTCTTCAAGCTTTTCACCTCCTTGCACGTCGCCATTGCAACAGCGGCGTGCAACGTCTGTCACGCTTTCCGCATCCCAGTCAGCATCCACCTCTTCAAACATGGACGTCGATCACAGCAACTGCCCTTTCTTTCAAAGCAAACAGAGCAAACTCACACACACACACACAGACCAAAACATGTTCTCAACTCTTGTGCGCACATCACTGGCAGCTCACGGCAACAAATACGTCCATTCAGCATCAAACACCATCAATCAGCCCCCCCCCCCAATAAATCATGAAGCCTTGCATTAAATTCACTGCCCACAATCAGTGAACCTCGGCTCAGTCAAACTGTTACAGCCCTCAAGCCCATGCTGCATGCTGCGGAAGTGAAAACTCCACTGCAGTGCTTGCTGTCCTCCTCCAGCTGTGCTCTTTGCGACTCAGCACTGCCCTTCAATCCTGCTATCTCCTCCGCAGGGCAGCTCTTGTCCGAAATGCGCCTTGCTCCATCTTGGGTTGCTTTGACACGAGCGTAACTTCCGGGCAAACAATATGGGGATGCCCGCTGCTAAAGCTCTGAGACACACGGTTCAAAAGCATGGCGAGTCCAAAACCGCAGGTAAAACAATTACTTCAAGCACTGCCGACCTTCTTCAGAACACACATCCGATCAAAGCAACAGCATTTAACACTAAAACCAGAAGTTCGGATTTCCGAAGTCCTCAAATCTTACGGACCTGCATCGGATTGACAGCCCAAACCAGCAAAACCTCAATCAATCTTAGGTCAGTCAAAGCAGTAATTACACAGTTTGCAGGCCCATGCTGCGTGGGGCATTGGAAGCAACACGGCCCCATGCAGCTGCCGCTAGTCCTCGTCCAGTTTTGCTCTTTGCGACTCAGCACTGCCCTTCAAAGCAGCCACCTCCTGGGAGCAACGAAATTCTCGCCTAGGCCGCCCCACGCCATGCGCCAGCCTTAACTGCGCAGAACCAGGCTGTACTCTGTGATGGGGCGTTGACACGAACACAACTCCCATGTAAATGCAGAGATATCCCCAACTGTCAATGCTCTTGGACACACTCCGACAGGCTGACAACCAGCCCTTGCATCTGTCCTCTTCATGCCGTGCTTGTTGCGCTTTCGCTTCCTTCTTCAAGCTTTTCACCTCCTTGCACGTCGCCATTGCAACAGCGGCGTGCAACGTCTGTCACGCTTTCCGCATCCCAGTCAGCATCCACCTCTTCAAACATGGACGTCGATCACAGCAACTGCCCTTTCTTTCAAAGCAAACAGAGCAAACTCACACACACACACACACACCAAAACATGTTCTCAACTCTTGTGCGCACATCACTGGCAGCTCACGGCAACAAATACGTCCATTCAGCATCAAACACCATCAATCAGCCCCCCCCAATAAATCATGAAGCCTTGCATTAAATTCACTGCCCACAATCAGTGAACCTCGGCTCAGTCAAACTGTTACAGCCCTCAAGCCCATGCTGCATGCTGCGGAAGTGAAAACTCCACTGCAGTGCTTGCTGTCCTCCTCCAGCTGTGCTCTTTGCGACTCAGCACTGCCCTTCAATCCTGCTATCTCCTCCGCAGGGCAGCTCTTGTCCGAAATGCGCCTTGCTCCATCTTGGGTTGCTTTGACACGAGCGTAACTTCCGGGCAAACAATATGGGGATGCCCGCTGCTAAAGCTCTGAGACACACGGTTCAAAAGCATGGCGAGTCCAAAACCGCAGGTAAAACAATTACTTCAAGCACTGCCGACCTTCTTCAGAACACACATCCGATCAAAGCAACAGCATTTAACACTAAAACCAGAAGTTCGGATTTCCGAAATCCTCAAATCTTACGGACCTGCATCGGATTGACAGCCCAAACCAGCAAAACCTCAATCAATGTTAGGTCAGTCAAAGCAGTAATTACACAGTTTGCAGGCCCATGCTGCGTGGGGCATTGGAAGCAACACGGCCCCATGCAGCTGCCGCTAGTCCTCGTCCAGTTTTGCTCTTTGCGACTCAGCACTGCCCTTCAAAGCAGCCACCTCCTGGGAGCAACGAAATTCTCGCCTAGGCCGCCCCACGCCATGCGCCAGCCTTAACTGCGCAGAACCAGGCTGTACTCTGTGATGGGGCGTTGACACGAACACAACTCCCATGTAAATGCAGAGATATCCCCAACTGTCAATGCTCTTGGACACACTCCGACAGGCTGACAACCAGCCCTTGCATCTGTCCTCTTCATGCCGTGCTTGTTGCGCTTTCGCTTCCTTCTTCAAGCTTTTCACCTCCTTGCACGTCGCCATTGCAACAGCGGCGTGCAACGTCTGTCACGCTTTCCGCATCCCAGTCAGCATCCACCTCTTCAAACATGGACGTCGATCACAGCAACTGCCCTTTCTTTCAAAGCAAACAGAGCAAACTCACACACACACAGACCAAAACATGTTCTCAACTCTTGTGCGCACATCACTGGCAGCTCACGGCAACAAATACGTCCATTCAGCATCAAACACCATCAATCACCCCCCCCAATAAATCATGATGCCTTGCATTAAATTCACTGCCCACAATCAGTGAACCTCAGTCAATCTGTTACAGCCCTCAAGCCCATGCTGCATGCTGCGGAAGTGAAAACTCCACTGCAGTGCTTGCTGTCCTCCTCCAGCTGTGCTCTTTGCGACTCAGCACTGCCCTTCAATCCTGCCATCTCCTCCACAGGCCAGCTCTTGTCCGAAATGCGCCTTGCTCCATCTTGGGGTGTTTTGACACGAGCGTATCTTCCGTGCAAACAATATGGGAATGCCCACTGCTAACGCTCTGAGACACTCTCCTCACACAACAGGCTAACAACCAGGCTCACGCAACACAAGGCCTCTGCATGTCGTTCTTGATGCGCTCGCACCTCGATTTTCAATCCTTCCACCTCCTCGCACCAGCCACGGTTGAAAAGCATGGCGAGTCCAAAACCGTAAGTAAAACAATTACTTCAAGCACTGCCGACCTTCTTCAGAACACATCAGATTAAAGCAACAGCATTTAACACTGAAACCAGAAGTTCGGATTCCCGAAACCCTCAAATGTTACGGACCTGCATCGGATTGACAGCCCAAACCAGCACAAAATCAATCAATCTTAGGTCAGTCAAAGCAGTAATTACACAGTTTGCAGGCCCATGCTGCGTGGGGCATTGGAAGCAACATGGCCCCTGCAGCTGCCGCTAGTCCTCGTCCAGCTTCGCTCTTTGCGACTCAGCACTGCCCTTCAAAGCTGCCACCTCCTGGGAGCAACGCAATTCTCGCCTCGGCCGCCCCACGCCATGCGCCGGCCTTAACTGCGCATAACCAGGCCGTGCTCTGTAATGCAGCGTTGACACGAACATAACTCCCATGTATTATAAATGTAGATAGAGATATCCCCAACTGTCAATGCTCTCGACAGACTCCGTTGACCCTTGCATCTGTCCTCTTCATGCTGTGCTTGTCGCGCTTGCGCCTCATTCTTCAAGCGTTCCACCTCCTCGCTTGGCATGGCAACAACGCGCGCAAGTGAATGCCTTTTCATACCTTTTGAGGAACACATTGTCCAGTGCCTCACAACCGAGCCCTTAGAAGCAGCTCGAACAGCACACGCGCAAACTCTGCAAGCAATCGCTGGCAAAACGTAGCGACGTAGGGATTGACAAAACACGGTGGCAGCAGGAAGACATGTCGACTATCGCGGTCCTCCTGCAGTCTTGCTTTTTGTGCGTCTGCGCTATCCTTCAAGACTGCAATCTCCTGGACGCAACACACTTATTCCGGAAGCTGTCTCCCTCTGTTTAAGGACACAAAGAACAGCTACTACAACCCTGTTTTCATGGAAGAACTCTAAACAAAGAGGGAAACCGGTCTTTGGCCCCTCTCAATGCAACTCCAAGCCTCTTCGTGTTGTTCTCGTTGCACGTGCGCCACGCTTTTCAATCGGCACAGTACCAATGTGCACATTGCCTCTCACACCTTGCGAACAAGTACATATCACATATCTCATTGCCGCTTACATCTTATAATCAACTACGTACATGCCTGCCTCCAGGCTTGAAGCTGCTTGAACGCACAATGCATTCTTGGTCATAGGTTCTTTGTAAGCCATCACACACCCCACCCAGAAGAACCTTGTTGAGTTCTATGCGAAGCGGTGAAGATGCAGCGAAGATCACTTCCCAATGATCATTTAAAGTATTCGTAACTGGCAGCTCGCGGCCAGCAAAAACAAATGTGCAAGAAAGCAAGCGTCCTCAAAATGGACTGCCAAATGCTGTCAATCCTCAATGTCCTTCATGGAGCACAGGAGCAAGCACAGCCACAAACGCAGTAGGCGAAGACACACAAACTCACAAACACAAACACAAACACACACACACAAACACAAACATAAACACAAACATAAACACAAACATAAACAAACACAAAGACACACGCACAAACAAACACAAACAAACAAACAGAAACAAACACAGAAACACACAAAGCACACACAAACACACACTTAAACACACACACACACACACAAACACACACACACACAAACACACACACACACAAACACACACACACACACACACACAAAAAAAAAAAAAAAAAAAAAAAAAAAACACACACACACACAAACACACACAACCACAACACAACACAACACAACCACAACACAACACAACACAACACAACACAACACAACACACACAAACAAACACAAACACAAACAAACAACACAAACAAACACAGAACCACACAATCAGCCAAACAGGCAAACAGGCAAACAGGCAAACAGGCA